AACTCCACTGTGCTCTATAATGTGATTACAGTATCTGTAACTCCTGCATGCTTATTTTCTCTGATGTAATCTACTACTGGAGGATAAAAACAATTTTTTTTACTGTTTGCAACCCTAGCATTAGCATATCAGTTAATGATCAATAGATGTGTGTTTTCGGGATGAATAAATGGATTTCTCCAAGTATGTGTACCTTATGATAGATGCTTAACTTGTACTTTCAATGAGAAAAGTTATCTAGTCTCTAAAGAGAACATCAAGACTTAGGCAAAGATGATGGGTATTAAGGAGGGCACTTGTGTTGAACACTGGGTGTTACATGTAGGTGGCGAACACTAAATTCTATTCCTGAAACCAATATTACACTATACATTAACTAACTAGAATTTAAATTAAAAATTTGAAAAATAAAAGGAAAAAAAAAGACTTGTGCAAAGGAAAGATACTGGATAGAACACATTACAGGTATGTCATTTGAAAAAAAAAAACATTTTCAGAAAGGAATTACACAAAACCAATGACATTTCTAACATTACTAAAAATGTACATTTTCAAAATGAAATTAAAAAGATACTATCACTTACAAACACACCAAAGAAAATGAAATACTTAGGTATAAATTTAACAAAATGTGTACAGAATTTGTATGCTGAAAACTACAAAACACTGATGAAGAAATAAAAAAAAGCAATCCTAAATAAATGGAGATATCTAATGAGTTCATAGATTGGGAGATTCTACATTGTAAAGATAACAATTTTCCTCAAAGTGATTTATAGGTTTAATGCAATTCCTATCGATATTCCAGTCCTTTTTTTTTTTTTTTGTAGACATAGACCATCTTATACTAAGACTTATTTTGAAAGGGACGGGCCCTACAATAGCTAGAACAATCTTGAAAAAGAAGGCTGCAGTAGGAGGAGTCACCCTACTTGATATTTAGTCCTACTAAATAGCTATACTAACCAAGACACAGAAGTACTGGCACAGGGCTAGACATACAGATCAAAGGTGTAGAAGAGAAATAAGAAAACAGGACCACACAAACATGCCTAACTGATTTGGAATAAATATCCAAAGACTAGTCCTTGGAGGAAGCATACCTTTTTCAACCAAAGGTGCCAGAGAAACTGGACATCTATCCCAAAAGCTAAGCTTGACCTAAATAAACTTTACACTTTACACAAACGTTAACTCAAAATAGATCACAAGCAAATGTAAAACAATAGAATTTCTGGCAGAAACATTAATTAAAAAAACAATAGAAAACCTTCAGGTAGAGAGGCAAAGAGTTCTTCACATCACAACTATGATCCATAAATGAAAAAACAATAAATTGAACATTAAAATTCAAAATTTTTGCTCTGTAAAAGATCCTGTTAAGAGGATGAAAAGATAAACTACAGATTGCCAGAAAATATTTGCAAACTACATTTCCAAAAAACGACTATTATCTAGAATATACAAAGAATTCTCAAAACTTAACAGTAAGAACACAAGTAATTCAATTAACGAATAGGCAAAAGACCTAACAGACATTTCACTGAAGAGGAGAGATAGCAAATCAGCACTTGAAAATGTGTTAAACATCATTAGCCATTAGAGAAACCACAATGAGATATCACGATACACTGATGGTTACAATAAAAAATAACGACAATACCAAATACTGCAAGGATGTGGAAAAACTGGATCACTCATATATTGCTGGTGGGGATGTAAAATGGTACTCTGGAATCTAGTTGGGCAGTTTCTGATATACCACACATGCAATGACCATCCAACCCAAATTCATTCTTGGGCATTTTTCAAAGAAAAATGACAACTTATGTTCACCAAAAAATGTACATGAATGTCCACAGAAGCTTTATTTTCAACAGACCCAAACTGGAAACAACCCAGAAGTCTTTCAATGACTGAATAAACACTGTGATAATGTTCCATGCCATGGAACAGTACTCAGCAATAAACAGGAACATATTAGAGATACATGCAACAACCTGGATAGATTTCAAAGGGATTATGCTAAGTAAGCAATCCAATTCCAGAAGGTTATATAATACATGATTCTATTTAATAACATTTTTGAATTAAAAAATAGATATGGAGAAAAGATTACTGGTTGTCAAGGGATTGGGAATAATGGGGGAGAAAGGTAGATGGGAAAACGGGGGGAGGGTCCTTGAAGTGATGGCAATGTTCTGTAACTTGACTGTTTCAATGCCAAAACTCTGATTATGAGACTGTAACTATAGTTGTGTAAAATGTTACCAGTGACATAAGAGATTCATAGGATCTCTTTATGTATTTCTTGTAACTGAATATGAAACTGCAATTACTTCAAAAATACAAATTTTAGTAAAAAAAATAGGGTGCTAAACAACTTAGTACACTTCCATTTTGGGGAGGCATGAAAATACTCACATGTGCACTGATTAGCTCTGCTCATGAAACTGCCAATAGTGCACAACCGAAGAGGGGGGTTAAAAATTGGGGGTCAAGAGTATAAGAAAACTTAAGTTTTTTTTAACAAAATAAGTTCATTCTAAAGGAAATGAAAGGAAATTGTTGTACAACTGTCCTTCATTTACTCTTTCATGTAAGATCAAAACAAAAATTTTGGAAGGAGAAAACTGAGGAAAAAGCCACAAAGCATGCAACAAAGAATTATGTGGCATTTCTGTGTCCAGGATAGATACTAAGAGAAGGGAGTAGGAAAGCTCTTGCTTGTTATGCTGATGGTAAACTTAGGTGTTTCCATTATTTACACCATTTAACTGTACATATACAGGTGTAAATACAAATCAGCTGCACATGAAAAGCCTTGTTGTTAAACCTTTTTCATTGATAAATACTCGGAACACTTATCAGAAAGACTACGATGTCTGAGTACAAGCTAACATTTTCAAACACCTACAATTCCTTGCAAGTGGATTATTTAAAAAACCAATGGTGACAGTTTTGACGCCTGACAGATAACAATGTGCCAAAATGTCAGCCTTGGGCTCCCCTCACGCCAACACCAAGCAATACTATTTAAATTGTCGTTTATAAAGATTTTGAGTACTACTTTCCAAATTGAAGAGGGAGCCATATCAATGCTAGCTTCAAATCAATTGGAATATTTGAATTCCAATAACAAAAGTATCTTCTTTCTGCAGTTTATCACTTTCTCTAGAATACTGCTTGCACATACAAAACTTTAAGGTGTTTGCCTTTTAGTTTCACCTTCCATATGGCAAATGTCACTATTTGCGCAACTTTTCAACCTTTCATTCATTACTTTAACTGTAAATTCAGGGACAGGTTAATGTAATTTCTCAGAGCACTGGGTCACATTATATATTTAAACACATCGAAGAAATGCAACTTCAGGGCTTTAAAAAGTCAGATTACTAATGTGAACGCATCATTATTTTCCCATCAACAATATATAATGAAATGAAGTGTTAGACTGTGGACATCCAGCTCAGTTCTAATCTCAGATAAATGAGGACACACATTTGCCTATCTTGAAGAATCACCTCTACATGCATGAACAATCGGAAATAATGATTTATTTTAAAAAAGAAACAGAGTGAAATTAAATCAAATCACTATTAGTTAAGTGAGCAAAGTCGGTCCACAAAGTACTCTTTAATGGCACTAGTATGGCAATAATTTACCAATGCCACTAGAAAATCTCTACTTCTAATAAGAGATATGTTTGACCATAAAAGGATTGGTAGACCCCAAGGGAAAGAACAAATGCCAAAGGAATGACGCATTTGTTCTTTTATAATCCACTCAACACTTTTCCCAAGCACAACTCCATTTGCATTCACTTATCTTTTCCAAAATGAACTTGAATCTATATGTTGTTAGGATCTAAAAAGACACATTTCTGTTTAACTTTTATGTGGCCTTGACCCATTTTAATGTCCTAACACACCCGCAGCCATGACTCAGCATAAAGGTAATTCTTCTAAGAGTAAGTGGGGGTGGAGGCAGGCATGATCCTCAAACAGAGTAGTGATAGCTGCAGATCAGAGTTTCAGAAGTGAAAGTCGAATTTGGATTTGAAAAGGACACTACGTGATTCTGAGCCTTCCTCCAAATTGAGAATCTATTGCATTAGACGTGGCTTTGTTTCTCTTAGCAAACCAAAATGCAAAAAAAGACAAAGATTTAAACACACCCTCTATATGCCTGTACCCTGCCTTGCCAATGCTCTTATAGTCTAATGACATCCACAATCATTCATGCAGGGTGTGATTCACAATCCATGAAGGGCTAAATGCTTGAACTGAGATTTTTAACTACTAATGTGTTACATGGATACTGTTTCAATGCATTATCATTAAGCAAACTACGTATGTCTCTTCCATAAGGAGACAAAGACGTATGGATGTGCAATGAGTTTCTGTGTGGATAAAGGCACAGGCTTTGTTATTAACTTTCCTTTGGCCCTGAGGGACCCAGGACATTTTTGTATTGACCCAGCACTTTTAGTTAACAAAATGATCTGGAAGACAGCCTTATTATTCCCTAACATGGCAATGCTGCCTTTGTCTTGCAGTGCACATACACACATTTACCTAAATCATCTTTACAGATGTGTGTGAACCAGAGGTATCTGTGCTCTATTTGTCTGTGAAGGGCAATAACAAAATGTTACAACCCATTTAGCAATAAACTATGCATCCTTTCTGCAAGTCTTTGCTTACATTTTATGTGCAACATTTCACCTCGTCTATAAATTTTATTTCATAGTCTTTAGTAATTTCTGGCAACATAAGTAGATACCCAGATGGTATCTCTTTTCTCCATAAGCCAGAAATAATGTCTCAATATAAATTCCAATCCCATCTTTTTATGATTTAGGTTCTAAATTTGAGAAAGCAGCAACACACACAAATATTGAGACAAAACCTTTGGGTGAAAGGGATAGCAGCAAAACTATAGTATAAGAAAGCAGCCTATGATTTATTGATTCAGCAATAATAGGATTAAAAGAATACCTGATGACACAGGCGTAAAGACCACTGTCCTGCAGTAGTGTTGGCCGGAACCAAATGGAGTCTTCTTCCTTGCTCATTCTACTTCCATCAAAGGCTATTGGCTCTTCAAAGTCTCCAGGGCCAGAGCTTTTGTACCACATCAAACTGAGTCCAGCACTTTGGGCCAGGGAGTAATTTGCTCTGATATAACCGTAAAAGAGGGCACATTTGATTCGAACAGGCTCTCCAACCAAAACTTGATATTTCTTGATATCGACAGACCAATCAGTGCATCCATCGGCTACAGTAAAAAGAGAGAGAAACAAAACAAAAACATTAGAGAAAAAAAGTGAAGCAATTAGTTCATTCACTCCCCGATTCATTCACCAAATATTGACTGGGCATCTCTACTGACCAGATTCTACTCTAGGCACAGAGGATGCAGCAATGGATACAACTCGGAAGGGCAGTGAAAAGTAATTTACCCAGCTAATAAGCAATATGTTCATCACTGTGCTTCTGCTGCTATTTATTCTTAGTTTATATCAGTGCAATTGATTCTAAATCCATTTTTTTTTTTGCCTGTTCTTTGAAACTGGATCTGGCCCTTTGAAATATTTCTCCTTTGCTAACTGGCACTACAGCTTTGTTAGTAGAGGGTTCTGGAGAGACAGTGTCAGAGGAAAGGGTTTTGCTCCTTGATTTCAGCGTGCTTCTGTGGCAGGTTCTTGAAGTGTGGCAGGCTTCCCCAGCACCTGGCTCCCACTTCTCTAGTATCCAGCTCCTGCAGTGCACAGTAGTCAGCAGGTTGGATATTGTGGAACAGAGCCTCAGCCAAGACACTGTCCCATGAACAGCTTTCCCAGGTACCTCAGAAGGTGAATCACTGACAAATTCCAGATGGAAAATTCTGCCATCATGGCACCTCAGTGATGTCTACCATTCAGTAAGCCATGTATTTTCCTAATAAGGTTTGGATCTCAGTTCTGAAGGTGGGAGGATGGAGGGCAGCTTTCCCTTGGATGTTCTCTCAGCCATAGGGGTAAAATGTCAGCAATCCCTCTAGTTTTTAGGGTTTTTCTTTTTTTTTTTTTTTCTTTTGCTATGGACTGAATGTTTATGCCCTAAAATTCACATGTTGAAGACTTAATCCCCAACGTGATCATATTTGGAGGTAGCGTCTTTGGGAGATAAGTATGTTTAGATGAGGTCATGAGGGCAGTGCCCTCATAAAGGGATCAGTGCTTTTATAAAGGACATCAGAGAGGTTCTCTCTCTCTCTCCATCTGTCTCTCCCTTCCTTCTTCCCTCCATTCCTTCCTCCATGGGATGGGGCTCACAGATAAGAGGCCATGTGGGCACACAGCAAGAGCGTGGCCAACTATAAGCCAGAAAGAGGGCCCTCAGCAGGAATCAAGTCAGCCAGCACCTTGGTCTTACACTTCTCAGCCTCCATAACTGTGAGAAATAGGCTATGGTAATTTAGTATGATAGACTGAGAAGACTAACACATCTTTCTTTCTTACTAGCCAGTCCTTCACTCCAGTGCCTTGTTACATTTAATACTTCCTTATATAAACTTTGCTTGTTAAATTTAGTGTGTGGTTTATCTCTTTGATTGGACACTCAATGACAAGATCATAAATAAACATTTTACAGGCAAATAAGGCAAAAAAGAAATGCAACAAAAGTAGGTCAAGTTCTGGTACTGGTTTCACAGCCAGACACAGAGGCAGACAGTCACTTTGCTCTGCTGGACACATCAAGGGAAGCGTAAAGTAGAAACCATGGTGAAAAATGTGGCTGATAGGGGTGGGGGCTTGTTGGGTTTTCTAGGTTTCCTGGGAGCACCACCATCCAAATGGTAACTTGACACCAGTTTTTCATCACACACACACAAAACAACAGGTCCCCACAGAACAGGTACATCCTCACTATCATCATCATAGAGAAATAGTGAATTTCTTGCTTAAAGAGTGCAGCTGTTGAATATTTAGTAAGTTAACCAATTTCACAGAACTCACCATATACAAATACTAAGCAAAATGGCAAAAAAGCAAGAAAAGAGGGACCTCTAAGAGCAGTAACATCTGAATACTGCAAGAATTTAACTTGCTACAGATTAAAGTGAGCGTAAACTGAAGGATCTGAGAATAGGATGAATAATGTAGGATTCAAGGGAAGGAAAATAAATCAAGATGAAAAGGACGGTGTACATTATTAAAGGAAAGAAGACACATCATCTATGGAGTTATCTACAGTTCTTTTCTTAAAAGAATATGTAACAACTAATGAGCACTTAGCTATGGTTGAGTTTACAAATTTTCATTTACCCTTCACAAAAATATCTATTAAGGCTTTTGAACTAACTGTTCTCTCTACAGAGAAGCTTTCTCACCAACTGCAAGGCTTCCTTCCTTCCTTCCTCCTCCAAATATCACCACCTTTTAGAAGTCTTTCGTAATTACCGTCTGAAACATGAGCTTCCTACCCTGATCACTTATTCCAGGTTCTGCTCCAATATTTTTCATAGGCCTTAATACTATATTACATACGTACTATACATATGTAATGTAATACTATATTACATTACGTACCCGCTTTTTGTTTGCTTCAACTCCCTGGTAGAATGTAAGCCCATTGAGGTCAGGGACTTTGTCCTTTTAACTCATGTCCTTAGCCTCAGTGCCTGGAACAATATCTGCTAACGAGCTCAACACACATTTACTGAATGAATGAATGAGTGGGTAAGTTAAAAACTAAATTTTACAACTGAAGACACTCAACACCAGCTAATAAATGTAAGTGCCAGAATTCCCACCCAGCTATGTCTGACCCTAGAATTCATTCTCCTTACCATCATAATACTGTGTTTCCTAATTAAGGTATTTTCAATTTCACAACGTTCTTTTATTTAGTTAATTTCAATTACCAAATTGTAGTCTAAGAGTGCTATCAAAGAGTTGTATTGGAGTAGTATTTAGTTAGAAGCTTGGTGGATATCAATGCCCAAGTTACCGCCATGATTCCTGTCAATGGCTGTCGTGGAGCTGGCACACCACGTTAATAGAATGACATAACTGTACACAAACAGAGATGTCAAGGCTGTATGAATTATATGTGATATTTATCACCATTATTTTGTATATTTGTCCCACTGCACGAAACAAATACTAGGTGGGATTTTATTTTAAACAGTTATAATTCTGGGGATGAGCATGAAATTATCATGTTTTACCACTACATGAATTATAATACAATTCTAGAATCATGTTATTGTAACTGAGGCCATCTGTCACAGAAGACACTGCTGCCAGTGAAACAGGCTGAAACACCTTCAAGGTAGCAGTATAAACAGTGAGATAAAATTATTCAAATCCCCAAAGATTTGTAAGATAAAGCAAAAATGCTTAAAGGTAAAAACAAAAATATTTGGTCTAGAGAATGCTAAAAAGTTAGTAGCAAATTAAATCAAGAGAATGGAGGTAGAGTTGCACTGGGGATAGAGATTTTAACACTATCAGAATATGCTTACTCAGAAAACAGTTGAAAGAAAACCAAAAATATTATGGCAAATTAACATTATTCAGTACTTAACTATAAACCAGGAAAAGTTTCCAACAGTTGAGCATCAAAAGACAAGGAAAAGAAATGAAATAACAGCACCTTGGAATTCAGAGACACCTTATATTCATTGTAATATGGAAAGAGATTGTAGGATCTACGGCTTAGGAAGTTTTACTACCATTAAGCTAAATGTATGATCTTCAAAAATACAGTATAAAATTGCTAATATGTTTTAATACTTTTCGGGGGAGGATTGCAAATAATATGAAATAATTCAATATATTTTCAAATTATTTGGATAAACACATTTAAATAAATGATGGGCTTATGTCTTTTTTTCAATAATTGAAACATTTTATTAAATGACATAAGAGTTATATTTATTTTTTCTTCGTTAACATTTTGCCTCATTCACACACACTCACCCTGTCACTCTGTATTATAATTTTTTTCTTAGACCATGTGAAAGTAAGTTAGAGACATAATGACATTTCACCCCTAAATATTTCAGTATGCATCTCCTTATGAATACATTTTTCTTATACAGCCACAAAACATTTTTTTAAATCTTGTGTAGCAGGACATCTCAAATCTTAAAAGAAAAAGTGATCATTTAAAACCTAACTCTTCATGACCAGAATTGCTACTGTTAGGTTCAGTTTTTCCTTACTTCAGCACACAAGCTCTGCTGGTTTGGAAACAATCATTCCAAAAGTATATTTCTAGACAATGTTAATTCCATTATATAAGTTAAAATTACTATTAAAATTATCATCAGGTAATTAGGTAGGCCAACAGTATGTAATCTGTTTTTTGTTTTTTCTGTCTTTCAGAATAAGACACCTTTCTATAAGACTTTCCCAGAAAGTTTACTATTAGTATTCTCATCCCTTGAAGAGAGGGTTCCATGGAAATACTCTAGTTCAATAACCCCTCTATAGTACATATTCCTTCATGGTCAATGGGACTTTACGAAGTCATAAAGTGGGAGCAGGAAGCACTATATTCATCCACTTTTGTTGCCACCCATAATGTTCTGGGAACTTACGTAAAGGCAGTGATGGAATTAAGATTCAGAACTAATTCCTTTACAAGGAGTTCATACTGATGTACCACTTCATGAACAAAGGCTACAAAGACTGGATAATATAAGTATATTCAAATGGGATAAGTATATTCAAATGGGATTAGGGAAAGTATTTTTAATTAAGTCACTATAACAAATATTTCCATGGTTACAAGCTTGAAGGCTGCATTCCCAAAAAAATGGAATATGAAAACAGAAGACTTTACTTATTAAAGGGCAAATTATATTCGTCTTCAAGTATCACTTGGATATGTACATTGGAATAATGACAAAATGATTAAGACATCTATAATAATGTAATAGATTCCCCAACCTGATCCCCTTTACTAAGCTGATGCACCTGTTCTCCAGCTACTTTGAGTGCTTCATGCTAACAGCTCACAGTTGTCTCCTTCTCTTGAAAATTACCCTGTATTGAGGAGGGCCACCTGTTGGGAAATTTACATCCCCTTGGGTGTGCCCAATGCCAACTGCCTGATGTGAGTATACAAAAGACTGCTCCTTTGCATCAAGTAGGGACAATCCTATAAGGAAGTTCATGCTCCAGAGCTCCTCTGTGTGTGTGGACCATGCCAAGACTACAGTTCACTGTGACCTGTCTCTTCAGCTCTTTCCCTTTTCCTATTCTGCTTCCCTCCCTCCCTTTTAGGATTTTCCTGAAGAGGATTCGCTCAATAAATTTTGCGCATCAAGACCCTGTTTGGGCTTTTTCTAGGAAAGTTGATCTAACATAGATTTACATGTTCATCTAGTGAGAACTACCTTCCTCCTAGTTTCAGTCCTAGGGGCTGGAGACATTATGACAGACAGACATAGCCTTTGTTTTCAAGAAGCTCACGGGCCAATAGGAGAGACTGACAAATTAAAAGCACACAGTGGAAATGCAATGATTAAGAAATGTACAGGGCCAGTCAGGAACATGTTCCATGAAAGGAAAACATTTGAGATGTCTGTCAGAAGTTAAGAAGCTAGCCACACAAGGACTAGGCAGACAGGTATTTATTTTGGAAGTACACACAAAAGTAAAGACAAAGGAATAACAGGTAGCAAATTCTGCAGGAATTTGTTTGCTACAAACAGCTTTGTGCTATAGAAACAAGTTTAAAGCAGAAAAAAAGCAAGAAATTAGAGGAAAAAAGTGAGCAAAGACAAATCATGGAGGTACTTTTATGAGCTGTAAATAAATGTTTGGCTTCATTGTGAAGGCAAAAGGGGAGATATTGAAGAGTTTTAACCAGCTATGTAATGGGGCCAGTCTAATAATTTTAGACACACTATGCTGGTTATATTTTTAGGTAGAGATATAAGATCTTAGCCAGGAGAGTGATGTTATTGAAGGTATGATGTTGGGCAGTGGTAGTAAAGAAGGGGAAATGGAGCAGACTCGTGAAAGATACAGGAGATTAGATTGGTAGGAGTGGGTGACTGAATACAAGCAGTCAGGGAGAGGAATAATGCTACTTTACCCAGCAACTCATACATTTTGTCATAGACTGAAATATCTTTCCCAATCAACGAAACAATCTACATAGTTTCTGTCAAGTGGTGGGATCCTTGAACTGTTTTTATAATTTCTTCATTTACAATTTTTAGGCAGTAAAAAATGTAATAATCTGTCTTTAAAAAAGACTCACAGACAGACCTAAAATGCATGTATTGTCACACTGGCATCATTTGTGTCTCTCCCTAGTATGCCTGGAAAAACCCAAAAATGAGACTTGAATTTATTTAAAGCAGTACAGGCCACACACATAAGCTATCACAGACACTGAACAAAAAGGTTGAGGCTAGATTTTAATTAGGCAAATTCTGTACTTTATCTGCCCTGGCTGCTATTCCTTCCATGTGTGGACTTCATAAACGAAAATTGGCAACGCTGGCGGAGATGCCCCCAAATTATCAGCATCAATCACAGCAACAAAGAACGACACAAGCTAACCTTTATAGCATGCACTGGTTCACACAACAATTTGTCCTCATCTCTGTTTTCCTGATTATATTTATCTGGGCTGGAATGTTCCCAGATTTTGGCCTGTAAAATATATGTACAGTGTAACAACTGTGAAAGAGCCTTTTCAAATACTTTGGAGAGATTTATGTGGGTGGTAAGAATTGATACTGCTCAAGAGATTCTGCCAATGATCAGAAATCCAATTTCTAGAATACCCTTTGTCTAGCAAAGCCTCGAAGTTATCATGTATCACTCTCTCAATGTAGGTCATTTTCAGGGGGGCACAGACCCTGGTCAGTTGTTATCACATTTCTTCTGAGATATGGTTCCCTCTTCATCACGGGAGCGCTGGTGCCAAAGCAAACAAGACCCTGTTAGTGTAGTTAACCCTCAATCCTATCTTAGCCTCCAAATTCTGGCAGATATTCCTGATACACGAAAACCCATGCATTGTATAGCATGTACTTGGTTAGGATTTATTTTTGTAAAGTATGTTTTCTCATGATTACAAAGAAAAAAAGGGAACCTATAAGAAAGTAAAAAGAGAATAATATTCATAATCTAGCCTTTTGCTTCAGTTTCTTTTCTCAGTTGAGATGATATATAAAATTTTGTATCATGATTTTTATTGAATATTTTACAATTGCATAATATTTCATAATAATGCCACATTAGAATTTACTTAACTCTTCTGCCGTTAATTGGCTGTCTTTCCCCGAGACTTGACAGTTCTAAATACTTCTGTGAAAAAACAACTTTATATACAATGTTCCACAAACTTGCCCTCCAAAAAGGAAAAAAAAAAAAAAGTACTATTTCCTCGGGAAAGAATCTCATAAGTACAATTGCTGGATCAAATTATACATTTTTAAGGTTTTATACTAAATTTTAAATAGATTTTCAAAACTCTCCCCTAGCTTCCTCTTATAGTGCGCATCTATACGGGCGCCTGGGTGGCTCATTTGGTTAAGCGTCTGACTTCGGCTCAGGTCACGATCTCGCGGTTCATGAGTTTGAGCCCTGCGTGGGGCTCAGTGCTGACAGCTTGGAGCCTGGCGCCTGCTTCGGATTCTGTATCTCCTTTTCTCTCTGCCCCTCCCCAACTTGTGCTCTGTCTCTCTATGTCTCTCAAAAAATAAGTAAACAGGGGCGCCTGGGTGGCGCAGTCGGTTAAGCGTCCGACTTCAGCCAGGTCACGATCTCGCGGT